GGGGGGAAGAGAACAATTTTTTCCTCTACTTTTGACAAACCCTGTAGGTTAATTCTGCTAGTAGATCTGCATACAATTAACTTTATCAAGAAGACTGATTTGTTATCAACACTTTGTTTTTTTATTTACCCCGATATCTTAATTTTTTGTGAAATGTGACGGTTTAAAGAAAATGCTACATTTTAGAAACGGTCATAATTTAAATGACGGTGGAGAATAAACTACAAAATAAGTAGAGTGCTGTGGCCAACTCACAATATGACAACTGTCAAATATTCGTTACTTGGTAATTGCAGTTTCATTATTATTCATTATCAGCATAATATCATGGTTTTAACGCTTACTGATGCAACATGAGCAGTTGCTCTGGTACAAGACGGTAGGACTCAGTATTATACTTCTAGAATATTGGGTGTTACAAGGTGTAGCGTCCAGAGAGCTGTACAAGGTTTTAATGAAACTGGTAGTTTTTCGAGACGAAGAGGATCTGGCAGACGACGTTCTATAAATGTTTGAGATGATCGTTTTGTAACATTAAATGTTTTGCGAAAAATAAATACTACTGCTGTCATGGTTCGAAATCGTTTAGAAGAAGTACGTCAAGTAGCTGTTAACGAAATAACGATTCGAAGGCGATTACGAGATCATGGATTACGCTCCAGAAGACCTGCAACTGGTCCGGAGTTACTTAGGAATCACAGAACAGCACGTCTTCGATTTGCCAGGGAGCATCAACATTGGAATATCGATGAATGGAGTAAGATTTAATTTTCTGACGAGTCAAGGTTTTGTTTACGTTCTCCTGATGGCCGTGAAAGAATATACCGAAGAAGAGGCCAAAGGTTTGACCAAGCAAATTTTTCCACAAGACTCAGTTATGAAGGAGGATCGGTAATGGTTTGGGGCGGCATAAGCATGGAAGCTCGTACTGATTTAGTCATTGTTGGCGGCGGAGCAATGACAGCTTATTGATATATTCGTGATGTGCTAGATCCATATGTAATTCCATTTGCACCATTTATAGGAAACAAATTCATGTTTATGCATCACAACGCTCGACCACATATTGCGAGGATTGTATCTCAATATTTAGACGAAACAGAAATTCAGAGGATGAACTGGCCATCACGTAGCCCAGACCTCAATCCAATTGAGCACGTCTGGGACATGATGTACAGACGAGTTCATAACCGAGTTCCTTCTCCAAGTATTTTAAATTTTTTAAAAGATGCTTTGGTCCAAGAATGGGATCAGATTGACCAGATGAAGATTCGATATCTAATAGAGGGTATGCCATGACGCATTGAGGCAGTTATTCGCGTTTGTGGGGAAAATACTCGTTATTAATTTGTAATAATTATTAGTGTATTTGTTGTTTGAGTTATTTATAAAATTATGTATTACTATGCTAAAACTGAATAAAAAAATTAAGATTGTTGCATTTTCTTTAAACCGTCACATTTCACAAACAAATTAAGATATCGGGGTAAATAAAAAAACAAAATGTTGCAAATAAATCAGTCTTCTTGATAAAGTTAATTGTGTGCAGATCTGCTAGCAGAATTAACCTACACGGTGTGTCAAAAGTAGAGGAAAAAATTGTTTTCTTTTTCCCCCTGTATATCCGGCGAGTACTAAATTACTTTTACATGTCCGAATAATAATGTTAAAACTACAGTATTTTATCTAAAATTTGCTAAAAACTTCAAATAAATCAGCCTTCGCATTTGAAAGTTAGAGCATTTTTAAATAAATCATTATTTTGAATGGATCGAATTTTAAATCGGTGAGTGTAGTCTATGCGCAAAAATAATAAAGACCGCTGGATTTATGTTTTGGGTTCTTCTCAGGTAATGTTAGGTTAGGTTTGTAAACTGGTCGTGTTAATGCACTTGAAACTGGAGAATCAACCATATAAGGTCGATAGATACTTAAAGTAGTTCCAACGAACATGTAAAAGATATTAGCAGGAGGCCGGCGATAACTTGCTCAGGTGGTGATTTTAGTGGGTAAAGGGTAAAACTATTGGGAAAGGGAGAACCTGTACCGAATCTCTATAAGGGATTTCCACATATCAAAAAAATATCAAGAAGTTACTTCATCGAAAACTATTTTTTGGGCCAGTGTATCTAAAAATATACACAATCGAGAACTAAAAAGAAAATAATTTGAAAATGGAATGATTATTTTATCACATACAAAACAACAAAAGAAATCACATTGGAATAAAAAACAATAAGAAATCGTAGAATTTGAGGGTCGGCTTTGGCGCTGAACGTGTTAAATGTTTAGGATGTAATAAGATACTTGATTTAAAAATGTATCTATATACTTGCTGGATGTTATAAGAATGGCAGTTTTTCTGTAGAAATGGTATACTGTGACGTAACAACTGGATGTCACAAGATGCAAGGTTTTTCTGGATGTCACAAAGTGTTGTTAATAAAAATATATACCGTGTATACTTTGGATCTCACAACGATAGGACGTTTTATTTTTTTAAAATGTGTATGGTTGTGATATTTTTCGCTCAGCCATAATATTTTTTTAATTAAAAGAAGTCATATTTTTATTTTTTTCCTAAAGTCTTTGCAAAGGGTGGATGTCACAAAGGCAAAATTTTTGCTGGATGTCACATGATACGCTGGTCGAGTATATATATATATATATATATATATATATATATATATATATATATATATGTATATATATATAGGGTTTTATTTCTGAAAATTTAGGTTGGAATAGTATTTTGTGCAACAAGAGTGGATATGATGGCCATATACGTATAATCCTCTCGAGCTGTACAGTATATTTCGTCTACGACCCACTACAGTAAATATACAAATTTTAAAATATATGTTAAATTAATAAGATAAAAATAATTAATTTAAAAATATTTATGAATTTTACTAATTTATAAAATAAAATAAACTTAAAAAAAGAGAACAGAATTTTATTTAATTGGTCTATTATCCTAGACAGCATGACAGCTCAATACGCCATACTCAACTCCATCGATAAACCTAACATTTTAATTTTAATACTCATAATTATATTAATTTCATATATTTTATTAAAATTTGATTTATTTGTAAATATAGGTAAATATCTTGTGAAACGCTATTATTTATCGATTCTTCACAAAAATAACTAATTTTTAATTATTTTTAATCCCAATAACTAAAATTATACTGACAATTAATTTGACAGAATTGTCACTTATTTGAAACAAAAAAAATAATAGTTGTCTGGTGACCAAATATGAACTGTGATTGGTTGACTTCATATTTGTTCAGTGTTCTTACTAAGTAGAATAGATATTGAATATATTCGTTTAGTTAAACGCTTAAACGTTTTATGTTCTGTGTGTAGTATAAGCTAACCAATGTAGGTGTAGAAAAAATAACCTGAGATTTTACCCCGTAGTAGACTAGATTTTGGAAAATATGACAGGATATTAATGATAAGATTTTAGAATATTTTGTGAAAGTCAGAACAAAACTATGACAAATATCAGTTTGTTTTTACTTTTTTGATTATCTTTATCACCCATAGATGTCATAAAACATATTTTTTAATAAAACATAAATAAGACAGAAATAAAACATAAACATAAAAAAGCATACATAAAACTAATAAAACATCGAATTGAATATGATACAATTAAAGTCAGTATCACAAAAAATCGAAAAATAATAAAGATATCCAAATCAAAAATTCTTGTGGATGACTTGGTTAAAATTCAAAAATATTATTTAATTAAAAACTTAAATTTAATTATAAACTTCCATTCAGTTCCTTCTGTAATAATACTATTTTTTCTTGTTGAATAATAGCTTGGGTAAACGGTGAGGTAAAAGCCTTCGGTCGTAAATCCAATTTTTTATTTTTTTTGGGCCCCGAAAAACTGTTGAATCATTTAAATCTTAAATATTAGAATTTTATTTTGAATTGTGGGCAGTGACCCGGCTTAGTAGGTTTACTTATTGTGTATCAATATCTGCAGTCAAACCAGACCCAGCGCAGTTAGTAGTTAGATGGGTGACCATTTTAATGAAAGTCGGTGTACGACCAAACAAACTGCTCGTACAGATATAACGAGCCGGGTTCGGGCCTGACCCGGGAGCGTATTTCCATAGTATACTACTGTGCGGAGCAGGCCGTTGTCTGTACCGTAGTAGGCTATGTACCATCTGTTACAGTTACGCCATATTACAATGTGTACTGCGATGCAGACATCGCTTTGTTCTGTAAAGTAGTATAATATGTAGTCTCCAATGGCGTATTTAAAAACTACAAACTATACTCGATTGCAGAACTTTGAAATTATTCGTTGTAGGTACGTATACTTCCTTTACTTGGAATTAGCAGTACCTATTTTATAACAGGTAAATGAAGTATAAATGTTTATTCCAAATAATGCAATTTTATTACAATGAACATTGAAATAAATATTAAAAAAATATGTTAAAATAAAGATAATATAACATAAATTGTTTTTTTTTTATTATATTATAAAATAATATTAGGTTAAACGTTTAGTGGTGTTTAAAAGTAAATTTTGTATTATCTATTGTATAAGTAGCACCGACTTTAACATTTCACTACAACTAAGAACTACCAACATTAATTTAGTAATATTCAAATTTTCTGATGGGCGCACATAATGGTTACTAAAACACCCTTGTGATATATTACATCACGCTCTCTGTAAGGGCTAAGTAAAGAGTTAGGTAATTAATAGTTTACATATTAGAAATAGAAAAACATCATGATGCATTTTAATTTTAATAAACAAAATAAAAATTATAAAATATTATTACGAAACAAAATAAACATCATCGTGGACGAGTAGGTACTTAATGAGACTTAGCATTGGGTCTATTAATTGTAACATTTTTCGACAGGGATCTTAGACAGTTAGGCTTCCTTTTAATAGTTGAGGAATTTGTTGGTCTTCCAGCTTGTACTGATTTAGCCCCCGAAGTCATTCCAGGTCAAACTCTTCTCCGACTTATAGAGGTGGGTTGTACTCTTATAGTCCTTTGTCTTTGTACGCTTTTAATATTATGAAAAAAGCTTATTATATCCGAGGGGGTCGTTAGTTTACTTAATTTTTGATTAAATTTTTTAACGGCATTGTTCATTTCTACTGATTTATTTTCTTCAATTACTTTTAAAAAATTTTTAATATTCTGCGAAAGTTCATCGGTACAAAGATCTTGAATGCTAGTAGCTACATTTTCCAAATTTTCTTGCAATTCCCATTCATGTGAATAATTTACCTCCATCCCAGAAGATGTGTCATGTTTTTGGTACTCGTCGGTAGGAGCCACCATCATGTCTTCAAAAAATTCTGTCGGTATTTCCTCACCTAATGCAATTCGTGCAAACTCTTTTCGGTCCTCAACTGACAGTGATGGAGCGGACGACAAAGAGAAAGAAGAGTAAAGTTCCACAGCACAGAGATGTTTACAAAATCTTCCCCCTTGGCCGTTTGGGCAATCACAGGTGGCCGTCTCAGTACATACGTTGTAAATTAAATTGTTGTATTTTTCCGAACAAACTCCGTAAACAGTTTCTTGATATTGCTTTATGTTTAAATATTTTGCTTCTAAACGCAATTTATTGTGAATAAGTTCATTTTTGTTTTTTCTGTAATTCGCAAACGACAATAAATGTCTTTTGTGATAATTTTCAAATACGTTACAGATAAATTCAACCAAAGCGCAACTATTAAATGCCTTACAACGTTCGAGTTATAAAAGTGTTATACTTAGATTGCAATTCCTCTTCGGTACTAGCGTATAATAATTTTTGAAATTTTCTCATTATTAATGGGCGATGTTCTTTAGCAATCATATGATCACCTTGCCACAACCATCTCCAAAATGCTTGGCAGAAATGAAAGGAGCACAAAAGGACAATAGATTCTGGAAACACTGTCCGTAATGCATTTCTCTCTGCTGTAGAGTCATCTGTCATTATGATTTTTGGATAGCCAAGTCCATTGAAACCGTCAGCACCTAAAGATTCACGTAGTAGGTTAAAAACCAATGTATAATTTGCCTCACTTTGGTCTGAGTGAAAAACGCATTTTAAAGGTATGGCTCCGGTTTTAGCGGCAGCAAGAATAAATGTAACGCTGGTGCTAGTTTGGTCACATGAGCCGCTGGAATCAACAAAAATCATCCTACTTGAAAAGTCTCGCTTATGTGCCCTAATCATTATAGGGTTCAAAATAATTATCGTAAAAGGCGTTTCTTCGATAATTACTCGCATTCCTATTTCCTCATACAACGGAATTTTTTCTTTTAAAGCTGTCATCATGCTCGCAGCATCTCGGCCACCAAAATTTCTGGCACTATAAAGTTATTAATTGAAAATTCTTACCGTCATTGAGCAATTGAGCATACTTACCGCCATCCTTCATGAAGATGATAAATTTGACGGTCAGTTGGATTTATCTGGGCATTTGAGAGAATTTCAAATATATTTTTATCCTCGTTGGAATTTTCAAGAAACATTTCATGGTAAGATTTGGCAGAAGATATTTTAAGAAAATTTGTTTTGTTGTCTTACTGTTTCTTAAGAACCTACTTTCAGCTATTTTCACCTGATGATTATGATTACAGTTCATCTGAAAAAACAATGTGTATAAATAATGGATAAATACCTACAGGGTGTCTGTAAAAGGTCTTAACAAAAACATACCTCATATTCCTTGGATCAAGATAAGCCGATTTAAGTTAACTTACCTCAGTACAAAGTTGCTCAGTTTGGTCCCTAGAGGGCCCTAAAGTTACAATTTTTAAATCGTTTCTCCTTTATAATTCTAAATCGGCCAATGCCATTTTGCTTAAATTTAGTACGTTGATATGGTTTTATGTGACAAAAAAAAATTAATCAGAATTATTAACTAATATTAATCCACAGGCGTAGAACTTGATTTTTTATTTGGAACTTGCACATTTAAAATTTCTACGACAGTGAAATTAAGGGGGATTTAGTAAGAAATTTGGATTGCTTAACGCATTTATCACAAAAAAGGTACTATTGATTAGACTCGATTACTCTCATGGTTTTCGCAAAAATTATTTTTTAATTTACAGTGTAGGTTTTAGAGAAAAATGTATATTGACTAAAACATGAATACAAATACACCTATGGATTAACATTAGTAGACAATTTTGATACATTTTTTTTTATCACACAAAACTCTGCCAACGTACTAAATTTAAACAAAATCGCATGAGCCGTTTTAAAATAATAAAGGAGAAACGATTTAAAAATTGCAACTTTTAGCGACCAAACTAATCAACTTGGTTTCTTAGGTAAGTTTACTTATATCGGCTTATTTTGCTCCAACGAATATTTTTTACAGACACCATAATTTTGTATCACCAAAAAAACATTTTAAATTTTAAAATAAAACTTACCGTTGTAACAACATTCAAACCTTTCTTTAGAAGAGGGTCGTTTTTTAAAGTATTTCGATTATTCTTCTTAAATAAAATAGTGATAGTGGCATTGCAATTTTTATTTCGTATACGACTATCGCTGTTTCTATTTTGTTTTACTTTATTAAAGTCGTTATATTGGCACTTAAATACTTTTTTGAACTAAAATTTTTGACCATTGGGATAAGTATATCGAACAATCCAATTCGTGAATGTAGCTTCACTAAATGATTTTATAAATTCATCACAAAACTCACAGCTGTTTGATCACTTCTGTTTTTCGATGTTAAAACCGCGTTATAATTATTGAAATCTTTAAAATTCCAGTCAATGAGCTGATCATCTTCATGGCAAAAGCATTTTAGAATTTGCAATATTTTGTTTTCACAATTCATTGTTAACAAAGTGACTATGACAGACTCCACAGAAAAGTAGACTTGCACTGACACGAAATATTTTGTTACATTTATGACAGCGTCAAAGATTATTTAGCATGGCTAAGACATAATGACGCGATCTGTACTTGAGTAGAGTTTTTCTACACCCGTATTATAATAATGCACTTATATGCCCATAATCCGTTTCATAATGATACCCATTATGATACAGATTTTTCATTACGATACAGATTTTTAATCAATAGAAACCTACAATTTTTCAATCAAGCATGCTGTTTGACGTTTGTCCTAGATTCCTATGTAATTATTTTAGTTGTCAAAACGTATTAAATTTTCGTAGGTAGCTAAACTTCGATAATTATAATATTAAAATGTCTGATATTAGCGATATAGAAGACTCCTCCACACATATCGGAGAAAGCAGAAAATACAGTACAAAATATTTTACCGCAAAAATCTAGGGAAATACCAATACCTGAAGTAATACCATTAATTACAATTTTGTAGAATTTTTTATAGAAATACGAGTAATTACTGTTATTGTGTTCAATACCAATATAAATATAATATTTATAGGTCTTGATTATTTATCGGGTGTAGAAAAAATAGCGTATGCAACTCTCATGTAATGGTTATTAAAACACTCGCATAAACCATACGAAACTCGCCTTTGGCTCGTTTCGTATCCCGGTTAATGCTCGTGTATTAGTAACCATCATTACATGATCGTTGCATAATATACTATTGTAGTATACAAATACGCCATTGGGGATTACATATTATACTAGCTTTCAGAGCAAAACGCGGTCTGCATCGCAGTACATAATATAATGCGGCATGCGCCAATTGATATTACATAGCCTACTACGGTACAGACAAAGGCGTGCTCTACACAATAGTATACTATGGAAATACGCGACGCGGGACAACAACGGGTCCAGATTCGTCACATTTGTACGGTGTCGTTTATCTACCGCGCGATGAAAAGCAACGGATCTACCACAGACCGGGCCGCGAATTGGCATTGTTTACTATGCTACAACGCATACATGTTGTTACAACGCGGTAAAGAATGACTGAATAGTCGTTCTCTATACCCAGACAAATCTTACTGCGACTTAGTACTAGCAGGTGCTCAGACGTAATAACTATTGTATTATGGATACGCCTGCCATTCCTGAGACATTGTTTACCGCGTTGCAGTAGAAATCACGCAAATTTGCTTTCTTTTGTGATTTTGTAGGACTATATCTTAAAAATATCATAATAAGATATTATCGTCAAAAATTATTAAACTATACTAAAATACAAATACAAAATTCACTAGTCATATTACATTTATATTTATTATAAAATGGTAAGCATACGAAGTTTAATCTTAATGGGCATTTCCATGTAAATTTGCATTTGGTCCATTTAGATCAATATGTTTCTTTAAAGATACTTGTCTTTTAGGGTTGTTTGGTATCTCCTTCATGGATGTCCTCCCAACTGGTGTGACGGGGACATAAAAATGCTCGATGTTGAGTTGGAACGCGGTAAACAATGCCTGGAGAATGGCAGCGTATCCACAAGACAATAGTTACTACGTCTGAACACCTGCCAGTGCTGAGTCGCAGTATGATTTGTCTGGGTATAGAGAAGCGACTGTTTAGTCATTCTTTACTGCGTTGCAACAATATGTATGCGTTGCAGCATAGTAAACAATGCCAATACGCGACCGGGGCAAATAGGTTCGAAGATTGCTTTCCATCGCGCTGTAGACATACGATACCGTACAAATCTGATTTTTATTTGGAATTGATTAATAATAGCAGTTTTATTTGGGCCACATTTTAAGAAAAAAATCTAATAAAACTATATGAAACTACTTTAATTACGAGTATTAAAACATTCTTAGTGGCGGTAGAGCTGAGGACAGCGCATTTATCTTCCACGCGAATAGTCTGTGTTCGAATCTGGGCTAGGGACTATTTTTTTTATGTTTATTTTATAAATTAGGAAAATTTATAAATTATTTTAAAATTTGTTATTTTGTCTTAATAATCTAAAATAATTTTTTAAATTTGTAGATTTTTATTAGTGGGTCGTAGAAAAAAAAATACTCTACAACTCGTATAAATTCGAATAAAGTCGAATAAATATAAATAATATCAATTAAATTAAAATAAATTTAAGTAAATTTAAATTTAATCAAATTCAAATAAAATTAAATAAATTCAAATAAAATTAAATAAATTCAAATAAAATTAAATAAATTCAAATAAAATTAAATAAATTTAAATTAATTTAAATAAATTTAATTAAATAAATTTAAATAAAATAATTTATTTCAGAGCCAGTTCATTTGAGTAATTTCACTTCTATCTGTACAAAGTCAATACTATATTTTCTAACATACTATATTGAAGTTGGGATAAAACTTCAGTCCGTTTTGCATGAATTTTTTCCCATGACCACAATATAAACAAATGTTTTTACTGACCAAAATAGCAACCTAACTTCGTGTTGAAATCTACGAATTCACTTATCTTTAATCACTTTTACATAAATATATGAATTTTTGAACCCTGAGCTCTTAATTGCAAAAACTGGTACGACGTGTTTTTTGCTTGTTATTTACAGTTGGGTTCAAGGGACGGAGTTTAACAACATGTACTATGTCCCGAGGGTGGGAGCTGTCGTGTGACCTGTCAACTTTAAAGTAAAGTTGCTTATCGATTGATTTTTTTGTTTTTTTGCTGGTAATGAACTATAGACAATCTCTTTTTAAGCATTTTCTGTCATCCGGTTTTGCTACTTCCGGTATAGAGATTTCGACCTCGTGACCGCATATTTACGTTTTTTAACGAGATTTGAAATTTGGCTTGAACGCAGATATTGCAAGCAATTTTTTGTGTCGACGTAAGAGTTGATATTGCAAAAAATTGTATCATTCAAACAGGTGGTAAATCTGAAAAGTGGTTAAATTGCTCTCAAAATATTTGTATGACTCTGAACTAAGAGTAATTTCCCTTCACACATTTTTATCCCAGTCACCGCTAGTAACACTATTTTGACAGGCTGAAGGGACAATAACTGCTAAATAAAAATGCTTGAAGGGCAATATTTATTGTTAAGTATCATGAAATATCAACCATAATTCAATTCAAGTATATTTAAGTACAAATAGCAAGAAGAAAACACGACGTACCACTTTGTGCAGTCAAATCAGGGACTAGTATGGACTCAGTAACAACCGCAGCCCGTACAATTACATAATAGCCAAGGAGAAACAAAACTTATAATATAAAATTTTATTTCATGTAGATATATAAATAGATTTCGACGTTTCCAGATTACGGACGCAATAACATACCAAAAGTGTAAATAATATACTTAAATATGTATATTGCTTCAGCGCCTCTATCGGAATTTTGCTGAACTAAAATTGTATATATTCTTTCAAAGTGGGCATGTTGTTGCATCCACTTCAAATTTAAAATCCGTTAAAATCTCTCTTATCCTATTGGATACTCTAAAATTTGATTAATATTTAAATTTAAGATGGCGGCCTAAATATTTAAACAAAACATGGCTGGAAAAGGCAAGAAAAAATGATTTACATGGGTTGCCTTAATTACGTCCGATATACGGACTCAATAACGTCATGGATGCAACAATCAATGT